GCCACCCCCCCCGGCCCAATTGCCTCGGCTGGACTTGTCCCTCAGCCCTCCCCGGTGAGGCAGCGTTGCGGGCTCAGCCCTGGGGCTCACGCTGCCCTGCCCCCTACAGCGACCTGGACTGAATTCCACCCCGCTCGGAAATGACCTGGGACGGCGACCGCAGTACTTACGCAGCCGGCTTCGAACAGGTGGACGGCCACATAGACCGGCATCACCTTCCCCACCAGGGCGATGATCTCTCTGTGCAAGGAAGGGGGGAGGCTGTCAGGGCCGGGCACTGAGCGGATCTCCCACCGCTACAACCGCTTCCCGGCCCCCAGCGCGCCGCTGTGTCCTGCACAACCTGTAACGGCCACACTGGGTCAGACCAACGGTCCGTCCAGCCCAGTGTCCTGTCTGCTGACAGTGGCCAATACCAGATGCCCCAGAGGGAGGGAACACAACAGGAAATCCTCACGTGATCCCTCCCCTGTCACCCTCCTCCAGAAAAACAGAGGCTAGGGACACCATTCCTACCCATCCTGGCTAATAGCCATTGATGGACCTAACCTCCATGACTGTATCTAGCTCTTTTTTGAACCCTGTTAAAGTCCTAGCCTTCACCGCATCCTCTGGCAAGGAGTTCCACAGGTTGACTGTGCGCCGAGTGAAGAAAAACTTCCTTCTGTTTGTGTTAAACCTGCTGCCTATTAATTTCATTTGGTGACCCCTCGTTCTTATGTTATGGGAATAAGTAAATAACTTTTCCTTGTTCACTTTTTCCACACCAGTCATGATTTTATGGACCTCTATCGTACCCCGCTTAGTCTCCTCTTTTCTAAGCTGAGTTACAGGAAGTTCTGCTTCTGCACTGGGAAAAGTCAGTCCCTAGGAAATCGCCCTTCCCCCGTGGCGACTGAGGATTTCGGGTGTCTTTGTATACGACCCGTTGGGCCGGGTGGCCTCTGTTCTGGCCCGCTAACAAAGCTTTTGCCAGAGGCTTCGGCTTTGCTCAGCTGAGCGAAAACACAAGGTGCTCCGATCCAAAGAGAGGACCGAACGCCGACACGCTTTCTCTTTCCACCAGCTCAGAGGCAGCATCGGTTTTCCAGCAAGGTCCCTGCTTTGTATGAGGGAAGCCCCTGTGGAGAAGGAAACGTGTCCACCCCGCGCATGACGGTGCCCAGCCGTCACTGGGAACCTTTCCCCCAAGTACAATGGGCTTGGGAGCAGCCTTTAAGCTAATTTTTCCTCTGGCTCCGTTCTACTAGTAACTGTTCGTCTTTGTTCATTCTGCCGTTGCTACCGTCCTGAACAAGAACGACTCACCTGTCGCTGGTGAATATGTAACCCAGCACGTCCTTCGTGGCTGCCAAAATGACACCTATCACCAGGCAAAGCCCCCCTGGAAAGCAGAATCCGGAGTCAGGGGGCACAAGCTGAGTACGAGATGAAATGCGGTTCCTGGCCCAGCCTGAGCGACCTACCTCAGACTGCAAGTGTCCAAACCGGGGGCTGTCCCTTTGGGCCCTAGGCCTCCATAGTAGGGATGGAAGGGTTTAACCAGTTATCTGGGGAATTAATAAGCTGGTGCTTATTGGTTACCAGTAACGGTTAAACTGCATGGGGCTGGGAGCTAGCAGCCCCATGGGCATGGAAGTGGGCAACTCCACGGGGCCGGGAGAACGTAAGAGCAGCCGTGCTGGGTCAGACCAAAGGTCCATCTAGCCCAGTGTCCTGTCTGCCCACAGTGGCCAATGCCAGATGCCCCAGAGGGAGTGAACAGGGAATCATCACATGATCCCTTCCCTGTCGCCCATTCCAGCTTCCAACAAACAGAAGCTAAGGACACCGTTCCTACCTATCCTGGCTACTAGCCACAGACTGACCTCTCCTCCATGAATTTATCTAGTTCTTTTTTGAACTCTATTAAAGTCCTGGTCTTCACAACATCCCCTGGCGAGGAGTTCCACAGGTTGACTGTATTCTCCATGAAGAAAAATGTCCTTTTGTTGGTTTCAAACCTGCTCTGGGCATGGTTAACCATGTAACCTATAGAATTTGTATTGTTACGCAGTTCTTTTTCTTTTTTTTTCCCCATCCCCAATCTAGGGCACTAAAGAACTGCCGGTGGTTGGGTGGACTGGAATCAGTGGGACCCTGCAGGGGAGAAGTGAGTTGCCGCAGGAAAAGATCAAGGTAGGAAACTTGCAGAGCCAGGAGGAGCGTCGCACTTTGGTGGCCCCAGCGCACACAGACCAAGCAAAGCAGCCACACACCTGTGCACAGTAGGCTGGTGATGGAAGATCTCTTGGCTGCCTCTGTGTCCCCAGCGCCCAGCGCGTTCCCCACCAGAACGCTGACAGATATGCTGAGTCCATAGTGAACCTGAAAGTCCAAAGCACCCACACCCATGGGTCCAGGGAGGAGAGCCATTCTGGGCCCAGGCGCCCCTGGACGAGCGCTGCAGCTCCCGGGCCAGCTGATGCGATCACGAGGAGGCAGCCGGGAGGGACTGACGGTGAATGCGGACTGAGCGCTGCACTGCATGGAGCCATGGGCCCCAGGTACCATAGGGAGGGGAGACAGGGCTCCATTCCAAGGCCTCCCCACAGGGAGCGGGCAGCTAGGGCTGGCCCATGGGGCGGGGGGAGGGGTTGGCTGCCCATATGGGGCAAGACTTTTGGCTCAGCAGAGGGAGGGGCCACAGCCAGGTGCGATTGGCACTGGGGCAGGTCGTCGCAAAGGCCAAGGTTCTAATCCCGCCTCTGACCCTGATTCCCAGCTGGGCAGGTCACGGCCCCTCAGCCTCAGTTTCCCCATCTGCAAAGAAGGGATAACTCTAGCCTGCCTGGGGACTAGGGAGAGCTGGGAAGGTGTCTGCCCCTCTGCACATGGCTGGGCACTGCGTGGGGAGGGCCCAGGAGCTGACGCCATGTGCAACACTGAGTTGGTCTCTCTGGGCCTCGCCTCCCATGCCGCACAAGGCTGAAGATGCTTCCCCAGCCTGGCTACGCCCGAGCTCTTCCATGCAGGGGCTGACTTGGCCTGGCTTGTGACCGCTCAGCGCCAAGGGGGTCCCCTCTCAGGAAGGTGGTACCGTGAAGTAAAGGGTAACCCCCCACTCTCACCATGTACGACACAATGGCCACCTCGTAAATGATGGATTGTGCAGAAAGGTCCAGCACGCTCAGCAGGCCTGCGGGGGAGGAGGGGAGACAGACCCAGTCAGTTTCCCTCCCTGGTTCTCCTCCCCCCAACTGCGTCGTTAACCCTTCCTCTTCTCCACCAGCACCCACTCTGCGCTCAGCAGGCCCACACCGGAGGGACGTCCGACTGTATTCTGGCTTGCAGAAAAGCAGCCCTTTTAAAGGCCGGGTGAAACGTCCGGTTGATCTGCGGCGCTCAGCCTGTCCCCACAGCTGCACCCGTTTCAGGGAGCTGCTTGGCCTTGCGGACCCACCTCGGCTATGTCTAGACTGCAGGCTTCTTTCGAAAGAGCCTCTTTCGAAAGATCGCGTCTAGACTGCAGGCGGATCTTTCGAAAGAGAAATCCGCTTTTTCGAAAGAGAGCACCCAGCGAGTCTGGATGCTCTCTTTCGAGGAAGCCCTATTTACATTGAAGAACGCCTTCTTTTGAAAGAGGAACTTTCGAAAGAAGGCGTTCTTCCTCGTGAAACGAGGTTTACCGCCATCGAAAGAAAAGCCGCGTTCTTTCGAAATAATTTCGAAAGAACGCGGCTTGAGTCTGGACACAGGGGAAGTTTTTTCGGGAAAAGGCTACTTTTCCCGAAAAAACCCCTGAGTCTGGACACAGCCCTACTGTCAAAACTACGGGCTTGCAAAAGCTGATCCAAACACACACAAGTGCCACAGCTGTGACGCGGGCAGGCGGAACCTGAACCGGGGACGCTGTTACTGAAAACCCCTTCCCCTTTTCACCCGCTCGTTAGCAAACAGCTGGGTTGGAATACCAGTGCTGGGCTTCTGTTTCCGTGTGCCAGGCACAGGGGCACAGAAACGAGCCACTGTCTGAAACGTTAGGGCGTACTGATCAGGCACAGCCTTCCCAAAATTGCCTACAGACCCCGGCCACCGCTCTCCAGGTGGCCAGGAAGGATCCGGCTGGGGGTGGGTGGGGCTTGGCTGCAGGGGCAGGGCCTCAGGCAGAAGGGGCGGGGCTAAGGCTTGCCTCCCCCAGCTGGGGCTTCACCCGCCGCCCATGCATGTACCGCAGAGGAGAATCCCTGAGCGAGATCTTTCTTGGCGATACCACCTCTAGTGCCCCAGGAGCATCCTCCTTCCTTCACACACCTATCAGGAAGCTTCCGATTTCGTAGGTCCACCACTCGATGCATATCATGAGCATGCTGGGCACAGCCAGAGCCATGAAGGTGTCCCACTCCTGGAGACAGTCACGGGACCAGCCTGGGGCAAGATGAGGAAGGGTCAGTCACGGGGGGAGGGTTCGCACACGAAGCAGGAAGGGAAACGGGGTCTGTGGTCACTTTCCGGAGCAGAGCACGCAATGCGTGACGTGCGTGATGAGAAAAACTCCCCCAGAATCCAAACTCCCCCAGTGTCCAGAGCCGGAGTGAATCTCTGGGGCCTAGGCTGGGTTAGAGAGGGGGCTAGAGACCAGAAACATCCCAGAGAGAAACAGCCACCCTTTGTGTATTCAACAGGTCCTTGCAAGCCACGCTGTGACACCCATTAACCACCACTGGAACTTACTCCAGCAGTGTGCTGGGTTCATTAACACATCCCAATGGGCCCACAGAGCTCTCATGGACACTCACACACCCCGGCCCTTGCACTGAGCGGACAGCACTGGCAGTGCTTTTTTGTAAAGAAAAAAAAAAGGTGCCATACTCCAGGGGAAAAGTTGTTGAGCCCCCCAAAAAAAAAAGCAGGGGTGGCGCCAGCATTGCCCTGCGTACAGAGGTGCCGGTATGCTCCGTTCTTTCCAGGTAAATTCTGACTGCCGGTGCCGGTACTGCCTCTGGCAGCATGGGACGTGAGCCGTTCTGACCACAGCACCAGGAGGTGAGGTTCAGTTCCCCAGGAACGACACGCTGCTCACGGCTACGACTTTCTCTCTGGGCTCCCCCAGCATTCGTGCTACACTCTGCTGCTCTGAGCTGTGACTTACGGCGTGTGGTCCCCATCAGACCCGCTCATACCCGGGTTACCCTGCAGGGCTCGCCAAGAGAATGAAATCCATGGAAGGGGGCGCCTCGGGCGATGCGAGTCAGAGGTTTTGGCAGACACGTTAGCAGAAAGCCTGAAAGATACCGCACCTCCCCAAGTCTCCACGTGGAGCTTCTTGGCCACGATGTACAGGAGCAGGAAGATGGCTTGCGCGTATTGAGCAATGGTGTTTGCCCAGGCAGAACCCCTGGGAAAGCAACAGAGAAGGCAAGTTGTAGAGAGCCCCGTCTTGCCAGCAATTGCGGCAGCGGCAGCAAATCTTTGCTGAGCCAAAGACACTGGAGCAGAGCCCATAGTACCTCACCCGCTCCGCACCCAGCCTTGCATTGCTAAGTGGGCTCCTGGCGAGTGGGACGCTGGAGCAGTAGGAATCAGTCACTTTGGGGAGCTGGAGTGGATGGACTGGCAGCATGGCTGGTTATGGCTCATCCTCCTGGGTTGGTTTGCTAAGGCGCTGGCATCTCACCATGCGCAATCTGATTGGCCTGGCCCGCAGAGCCCAGCAGGCTCCATGGAAGCCTCTGCTACCTGTGACGTAGTGGGGGGTACCTTGCTGGTTGCTATGCTGGGCAGTGGGTTGTGAGTGACCTCGGCTAGCTACTGGCTGCAGCACAGCCCAGCAGGACAGGGGATGAGTCATTATGCAAGGGGGCTTCGAACCTGTCTGACCAGTTATCTCCCAGGGAGCGCAACAATGGGAAGAAGGGGAGTGGAGCCCTGGCTGGGGGCAGGGCTGGAAGTGAGTTAGGTTTCTGGCTGGTATCATGGAGGAAGCAGCCTAGGCAATGGGCTGGGATTTAGGGGCCGTTCCTGTAACCAGATTACATCTGTGCTGTGCTGTATCCTGGAGAAGCAATAAACTCCCTCTATTCTACTGGCTGTTGGAGTCTGTCCGTGCCATTACGGGGGTGCAGGAGACGGGAAAACCCCAACGCGCCATCACACTACCCACCAGCGTCCAGCTGGGGTGTGAACCTTTACCCCGGGCTTTTCATAGAATCATTGAATACTAGGACTGGAAGGGACCTCGAGAGGTCATCGAGTCCAGCCCCCCGCCCTCATGGCAGGACCAAGCACCGTCTAGACCATCCCTGACAAGTGTCTGTCTAACCTGCTCTTAAATATCTCCAGAGATGGGGATTCCACAACCTCCCTGGGCAACTTATTCCAGTGTTTAACAGGCAGGAAGTTTTTCCTAATGTCCAGCCTAAACCTCCCTTGCTGCAGTTTAAGCCCATTGCTTCTTGTCCTGTCCTCAGAGGCCAAGGAGAACAATTTTTCTCCTTCCTCCTTGTAAGACCCTTTTACACACTTGAAAACGGCTCTCACGGCCCCTCTTTTGCCCAGGTCAGTGACTGGCCTATGAAGAACAAGCACTTTCCATCTCCCAGGCACTGCGCAATAGGGATGTAAAATCACATTTCATTGGTTCTCACAGCCCCAATGCAAGGGGCAGGTGGGCTGGAGTGCCCCTGCCTTCCCGCCCACCATGGCTGGTCTGGAACGGCCTCTCCACTGCCGGCAGGGACGCTCCAGCCCAGCCTGAGCAGCCCCTGTCCGCCACAGGCCCCGCAGGGCTGGAGCAGGTGATGGGCAGGGAGCTGTTCCGGCCCCCACCGGTGAACCGGAACCAGTAAGCCCGGGCTGGCAGAGCAAGCGGGGGCTTTATGGAGGAAGGCGGTCAGGGTAGTGCCCGTTCTGTGTCTGGTGGAAGTTCTGTGCCACGCTCGAGAGGGGGTTGCATTTCTGCAATGGGCAGCATGAGCCCTGTGGATCGTCTCAAGGCCTGGTCCTGGACATAGCTCCGGGCCAAACATTGAGACTTTGCTTGGTTTTATTCATAAGCAAAGACCACTGGCCTAAGCTGGTGCCCATGTGGAAGTTAAGAGATCTTCGGTACCCCTTAGAGACCCAGTGGCTACGTCTACACTGGCATGATTTTCCGAAAATGCTTTTAACGGAAAACTTTTCCGTTAAAAGCATTTTCGGAAAAGCGCGTCTAGATTGGCAGGATGCTTTTCCGCAAAAGCACTTTTTGTGGAAAAGCGTCCGTGGCCAATCTAGACACGGTTTTCCTCAAAAAAGCCCCTATCGCCATTTTCGCGATTAGGGCTTTTTTTCGGAAAACAGTACTGTGCTGTCTACACTGGCCCTTTTGCACAAAAGTCTTTTGGAAAAAGACTTTTGCCCGAACGGAAGCAGCATAGTATTTCCGTATAAAAGCACTGACAATCTTACATGAGATCGTCAGTGCTTTCCGGAAATTCAAGCGGCCAGTGTAAACAGCTGGCAAGTTTTTCCGCAAAAGCAGATGATTTTGCGGAAAAACTTGCCAGTCTAGACACAGCCAGACTGTCTCAGTAGCTGTCGGAGAGCCAGCCTCGCTTGTTCACTTACGCCAAGGTTTTTCAGAAGTGGCTAAATGCTTCTGGGCACCCAACTCAAGACCCCTTCACAGGGCCACCTGAAATCAGGACCACGCAGGATCAAGCCGTAACAGGCCATCGAGTTCCTGGCTTCTGACCATGCAGGTACTACTCACATGACGCCGAGGTCCAGCACGTGGAGGAAGACGTAGTTGACAATTGCATTGATGATATTTCCAAAAATGCCACTGAGCACTTCGGGCCAGATTATCCTCTGAAATTCAACAAAATACAGAACTGGGGGTTGCTGGTTTTTCCCCTGAGCTAATGGATTCCTGTCCCCTTGTCTAAGATATAATCGTGGCCTCTGGAGAAGTAGGCAAGTTACGGCTTGGCCTGTCTGAACTCTTGGGGAGCAGCGGAGGAAGATGAGGCGTGACGGGAGGGTAGCACTAATGATGCTCGTGTGGAATTTTGGAGAAGCCTTGTATCTAAGGGAAGCGGCTCTATATTCTGATTGGCTGGGAGCCTCCAGCTGTCTCAGAATGATTGCTCGTTCCCTTCAGGAAGCAGGTTTCGGAGGGTAGCCGTGCTTAGCCTGTCTCTGCCATAACAACAAGGCGTCCGGCAGCATTTTAAAGACTAACAACAGTCGTAGGGTATGAGAGCGTCAGCGTTTGTGAGCTGCAGCTCTCGTATCTGAGGAAGTGGGTTGTAGCTGACGAAAGCTTATGCTTTGCTACCCTAATACAGTTGAGACGCTTTAAAGTGCCACCGGATCCAGGACACAGCGGTTTGAGTGGAGAGAGCAGGAGATCCAAGTTCTGTTCCCAATGCATTCACTAACTTGCTGTGTACCCCGGGCAAGTAACTTTGTAGGTGTGGGACCTAGGAGTGCAGCGGCTGGTCCCAGCTGCTGGTCCCCACATGCTGGGAGTAGACAGGAGCAAGGGGCTCGGTATACCCCCTTTTACAAATGTTCCTGTGCCACCGACTAACTTAGTCCCAAATTTTCAAAAGGGGCCACTAATTTAGGGAACTTTTAGTCTGCAGGGCTACGTCCACACAGCAGCGCTATTTCAGGGTACCGGAGTATCCCGAAATAGCTATCCCGCGTCTTCCCAGCAAGCCCGTTACTTCAAAATATAATGGGCTCGCTATTCTGACGTTCCTGTAAACCTCATTCCATAAGGAGTAAGGGACATTTCGGGAATCAGGGAGGGAAATTACGAAATAAGCGATAGGATCAAAAGAGATGCAATTTGCCTAGCTCAGATTGTGTGTCTTATTTCGAGTTACAGTGCAGTGTAGACGCACCCTTGGTGTTCAGCTTGATACCCCCGGACCTGATTTTCAGAGGCACCCAGCTCACATCCCCATCTGAAGTCATTTGGGGGTGTTGATGGTCCACCCGTCTGAAAATCCGACCACAGACTGAGAGCCCGCTCTTGACATTTTTAGTTTTTAACCATTCGGGGTCTTGGTTTCCCTACTTTAGCCTAGGAATAGTGGTCCCTGGCACATTCTGGCAAAGCGTGTCTGAGACCCGCAGGGCTGTGCAAATGTTATTGTTGCTGAGGAACAGAAATGCCAAGTTGGGTGGCAGGTTTTGCTACAGAGAGCTCCTCAGAGAAGGAACAGAAATGCAGAACTAAACCGGACCATCCTATCAACTGCAACTGCTCCAGTTATTAGCTAGATTGCCCAGGAAAACCCACCTAGCTGGAGCTGGGTAAAAAGACGGACCACTGGAAAATAAAGCCAGAGCACAAAACTGATGTCCGCTTTGGAAAACAGGCGACATGCAGTGGATTCACTGACATACCCACGTGTGCAAAGTAAGGGGCAGCAAAAAGCATTCAAAGTGAGCTCTGGAGGGAACCGCATTCAGGAGACGATCGGCCAGTCCTCAGCACAACTGCAAACAGCTGCTGCACTGACCACAGCCCCGGGTGGTCAGCACAGACCGGAGCAATAGGACACTGCCTGGCATGTGTGTGTGATGCTGGCTACTGGACACAGAACAGAATAGCTGTGAGATCTCAGGGGAAATTACTGACGAGAGAAACCTCAAGCAACTGCACTGAATGGGAGATTTGCGCCCCTGAAACAAAGATGGGAAGGCAAAGAGTAACGGAGCCGCCTACCTGATTCTGCAAGTATCTGGTCTCCAGCTGGTACAGAAAAGCAGCCTGCAAACAGGAATGAATCGGCGGGTGAGATCGCAGAGCCGAGAGATCGCAGGAGAAGCAGAAAGCAGTGCGCAGCGGCGGTTCGCGGGACACAGGAAGTAAGGTCTGGTTTGGACAGTCACTGCTGCTGGAAGTTCAGGACAAAAACGTACGTCCTGTCTCATTCCAATAACCGATCTGGAAACAGAGCCCCAGGCCCGCAGCAGCCAGGGTGAGATGCCAGACTCATCCAGCCCCCCACATGAAACCTACCACGGCAGCTTGGCAAAACTGGTGCATGAAAATGCAGCAGCCCAGGGACCGAAATCCTTAAGACGCTCTTGGACACTAGGGAAAAATAACCATAGTAATAATACTATCTATTCCCTCGCCCTTCACTAGCATGGAAAAACTAAGGTAGCCGGCCCTAAGCGTCCCACCAAGCACTTGCCCTGAGCCAGGGTGCAAGGTCTGCGCGAGGCTCCAGCCAGGCCTGTTGCCGATTTCGAACCTCTCTGCAGGAAGAGACCACTGCGCATGCAGGAAGCCACAGCAGGCAGAGAGGCCGGGTGAGTGCACTGAGCTGAGGGGGGAACGCAGCTGCCATCTGGCTTTGGGTGCAAGGGAAGAGGTTTCCTAGCAGCGACTGACAGAGAGAGCCAAGGGTGATGGGACTTACGGGAAGAGCTGGGATAAAAATCATCACATATTCCTGGGTTAACCTGGAGGAAGATACAACAGGCCCCAATTAGTACCGGTGTCTAAACAACCCTGCCAGCCCTGGCCTGCCCCTCTGTTCTTGATGTGTGGGGCAGGGCTCACATCAGGGCCAGCTCTCCTGTGATTTCCTCCACTGGGGCTAGAATGTGCGATACGCTGGGGCGGGGGAGTAATCCGCCTCGGGCAGGCGGCAGGCAGAGAATTTGCCTTCAAGAGGCAGCAAGGTTCAGGGCCAAATTCTGCCCGGGGTTACACCCAGGTGACCCCCAATGAATACAACAGCGGGGCTGCCTGACGGCACAACTCATCTGGCAGGGAGAAAGCGGTTGGACCAATGTTGCTGAGAGCTGAGCTTGGCCAATGCAGGGCACTACACTGGTGTTACCGAGGGCTGGGCCCAGAAATGATGGTTTTTTTCTACCATGTGCAGAGTCAGGGCACAGCATGAGAACCCCGATAATGTTAGTCTCTGAGATAAGTGAATCTTTTAACCCCTGCATCCCCTTCCACCCTCCAAAGATCCCAGATTTATGGAGTATTTCATGGCTCCAGGATTACGCAGCACACACAGAGAATACATTCTGATGCAACTATCATAAAACAGGGTGGTTGTGTTTTGTTTGGAGGTTTTTTTTTGCGGGGGGGAGATACATCGCTAGCCTCCCTGGGAAAAGTTAACTACTTCTGAAGTCTCCACAGTTTTTAACCTTCCTGCTTGCATTGCACTGGAGGTACTTCCTGGAGCTTTTGTTCCCTGGGTTTTATATTGATTAGTAATTAGTGTGAGGTAACAGGAATATGGTCTTTGGCTGAGCTGCTCTGGTGTCGCTGGGGGCTGGGCCCGGCCAATGGGGGGAGGGGAGCGCTGCTCTGGTGTCGCTGGGGGCTGGGCCTGGCTTGGTAGAGGGATGCTCCAGTTTGCGGAGGGTGGCTCGTGAGGGGGCTGCTCCGGTGTCACTGAGGCCCTGGCGCGTAACAGGAGGCACCCGACCCTTGGTTTCGTGGGGCGTGTGACCCGTGGCATGGAGCTGTGCAAACCGGAGCGCGCGCCCAACCTGGAGACCTCCGGGTCCTGCCTGAAGAGCAGCAGGATCTGCTCGGTGTTGATGAAGACGGCCCAGCAGGGGAAGCAGCAGAGCAGCAGGATGAGGATCCCCTGCTGCAGGATGGTCCCCACCCGCTTCATGTTCTTACCGCCGTACGTCTGGGAAACAAGAGGGCAAACTCAGTGGCATCCTGTCGCCGCCCTCTCTGCGTCTGACAGCTCTCCCCATGGGCGAGAGGCCTGTACGCTCCTCCCACTTGCGAGTGGGGGCCACGCGTCACCCACTGCCTGCCGGAGCACGTGAGGTCTTGAGGCTCATTAAACACGCCCTGGGATCCTTCAGCATCCATGCAAAGCAGATCGGACGTGGCTTTTAGGGTGGTCTGAGACACTGGGCCTCAGGCAGGGGTATATGCACCCCAGGGTGTGTGCAGAGGTCTCCTGGGGACACCTCAACTCATCTAGGACTTTGCCTCATTTTACAACAGGCGACAGGGATTGCACTAGTGAAGTCAGCACACACGAAAATTTCACACAGACAGTGACGTGTCGATGCAGCTCCGGAGAGCACCACGTAGGCACAGAAATGTAAGTACAATATTGAGATTCCAACCCGTTTACCGTGATTTGGCTAAAAGCGCGTATGCAGGCCATGCCTCGGTACCTGCTGCGGGTTTAGGTCTGCTTTTGTATGCAAGCCGGTTTTAAGTGAGGTGAAACGTGAGGGGATGCGAGACAGACTCCGGAAAGGAGACAGGCGTCCGGAAAGGAGACAGGCGTCCGGAAAGGCGGAGACTCACTGGTGTAAAAGCTGCTACCGCAGTGGGGCTCTCCGGCCCCACGCAGTGACTTATGCGTCTGTTACAACCTTGGATTGAATGGAGCTGGCCCTTTGGCTTGGAGCCAGACGTCCGGAGCTCAACTCCTGCAGCCAGGAGAACACCGCAGTCTCATTCTGCAGTAGCACGACATCGTCCGAGATGAAGAACCACGCTGGACCCCGGCGGGGCTTTGAGCGGTGTGTTCTTGGGCCTCTAAGCTTAGCCAGCCGGGTCATTCCTTGGTATGATCCTTGTGGTGGGGCGCAGTTGAAATCACTTTTAGTTCCTAACAAGCCCAGTGTCAATAATTGCTACCTGAGGGGGAGGGGAGCAATCCGTGTATACCTCCTCCTTTCGTTGTTAAAGGGGGCTGGCCCGGATGATTTATTTGGGGCTCTAATCCCATTTGGGGAGTGGGTTTCCTGGAAGCGGGGCCCAAAACTGCATTCTCCTCGGACCTGAAGAGTTTCAGTGTCGGTATTGCTCTTTGTGGGGGGAGGGGAGGTGGTCTCAGCTCTATGCCTGGGCTGGGGGAGACCGGGAGATCTGGCCCAGCAGGACCAGGCGGTGAGAAGCCCCAGAGAGTAAGGAGGCGCTCTGGGATGTCGCTCCAAGAGGCCTTCTGTGACCACCCCCCATCACCACCCTTTCAGAGGCTCAGCTCACCTGGGTGTCCGGAAGGACAGACCCTGCGACGTTCAGAATTTCTAAGGGGTCGTCAAGTTGGCTCTGACACTTTTAGATGCTCAGACACCCAATAACGACCACGCTGTGCAATATAGGCTACGCTCAGCCAGTGTCTTTAAAACCCCACCTCATCGCGAAACCAGAGATCGGAGACCATCCGCTGCTACCTACCTGGGATATTAACGTGTCACATGCTGAAGATAAACCAACCCCCACAGAGATGCCAGTCACATTTATAATCTGGAAATAATCATAATGGTAAAACAGCCATGAGCAGACACAAACGTGCCAATGCAGGTGGTCACAGGTTTCAACAAGAGCTGGCTTTGAAAGGCAAAGGAGAGATCAAAGCTCTCCCTCTATCCCAGGCTGTTTCCAGCTCATCAGCCCACCTCCCCAGCTACCTCATTGCTATTCAATAAGGGTATATCTACACTTGCACCCTCTTTCGAGAGAGGGATGCAAATAAAGACATTAGAAATTGCAAATGACGCTGGGATTTAAATATCCCGCACTTCATTTGCATATTCACGTTATGGCACTATTTTGAAATAACAGACGCTGTTAAGACGCGATTATTTCGAGAGAAAACCCTTCGCTTGAAATAACTAGTAAACCTCATTGTATGAGGAATAAGGGTTATTTCGAGAGAAGGGTTTTCCTCTCGAAATAACCGCGTCTTAATAGCGTCTGTTATTTCAAAATAGCACCATAACGTGAATATGCAAATGAAGCGCGGGATATTTAAATCACAGCTTCGTTTGCAATTTCAAATGTCTTCATTTGCATCCCTTTCTTGAAGGAGGGTGCAAGTGTAGACATAAGAGATATCTGGTATATGTGAGTTGGGTCAAAAAATACATAAGAACATCAGAACGGCCATGCCGGGCCAGACCAAAGGTCCATCTAGCCCAGTGTCCTGTCTGCCCACAGTGTCCAATGCCAGATGCCCCAGAGGGAGTGAACAGAAACCAGTAATCATCACGTGCTCCCTCTCCTGTCATCCATTTCCAGCCTCTGACAAACAGAGGCTAGGGACACCACTCCTACCCATCCTGGCTAAAAAGTATTGATGGACCTAAGCTCCATGACTTTATCTAGTTCTTTTTTTGAACTCTGTTAACTTCCTGGTCTTCACAACATCCTCTGGCAAGGAGTTCCACAGGTTGACTGTGCGCTGCATGACAAAAAAATTTCCTTTTGTTTTAAATGACCTATGTAAAGACTCAGAACTGAAATACTCACAGCGATAGCAAGTATGACGGAGGCCAACTCGACCTTCCCCAGATGGCCACAGAATATAGAGCTCACAATGTGGATCATAAAGATCAGCAACTGGATCAAGGTCTAGAAAGAGATGTGTGGGGGAGCAGAAATCAGGCAGATTATAGGCTGCAGAGTCCCAGGTGGGTCTATACAGTGAGCACTTGAGAACACATGCTTCATGCACTGGACGGCAGAAGGATCGTCTGAGTCCAAGTGGCTGCAATGCATGTCTGTGTTTTGGCTGAGGAGGGCCGACTCTGGTCTGTGCCACACCTGGGTAAGCTTGGAGTGAGTCCCTGGAGCCCAGGTGCATCGGAGCTCCCATTTCTACAGCCCAGGGCTCAATTTGCACCAGGAGCGTTGTTCAGCAGCATCTCGTATCTGCTCCACTGATGGAATGAGCCTTGGTCTAGAGGGTCCTCACCATTTAAAATCCTTAGACTAGGCCTGCTCCATGCCCCTGGGGTCACAGCATCTCAGCCTCCCCAGTGCAGCCTACTGCTCGCCTCCTGCTCCCTCGGATGCAAGATGCCAGCCCCACGGCACACACCGAGAAGACTTCCCTAGTCCAGCCTGGGGAACCCCGTTCCTTCAGCCACAGCTCTGCAGCTCCTTCCAGGGATAGGGGATTTCCCCGTAGTGTCTTGTGAGGCAGGCAGGCCGCCGAAGGCCAAACACCCACATGTCACTTAAAACCTACAGGAGCTCATCCCCTGGAAGGCTGGAAGTCAAACCCATCCTACTCGAGGGGGGTTGCAACCGCGCAGCGGCGGCCCCTGACCAGTTGGCTGGGCACCCAGCTCTCCCTGCCCCTCCCTCGCTCTCACCAGTGGCGCCCCCAGCACCAGCAGCTTCTTCGCCTCTTCCCAGAAGTTGGACGGGATCAGCCGGCGGATCCAGCAGCTGCCTTTCTGGCCGGCGCCGGAGGCTGGCGTGCGCGGGACAATGCTCCTGCCGTCTCCGAAGGGATTCTCGGCAGCTGGGCCCGCGGGCTCCATGCTGCTGCCGAGCCGGGGGAAGAAGTGACCCTCTCTTCCTTCCCCGTTCGTTAAACCTGCTCGGTTCACCTGACCCTGGCCAGTGACCGTTATGTAACCACAGCAGCTACGGCTGAGCGAGCAGGCGCCATCCACCACCCCCTTGCTGGCATGGCCTGGGCCCCGGGGATGATTAAAGTCCCTGGGAGGCATGGAGCAGGACTAGGAAGGCTGGGAAGCAGGGCAGCCTTGCGTGGAGTTGGACACTGTCCTAGGCAGGCTTGGGGCTGCCTCTGTGCAGGGGGGTGGCCTAGATCAGGAGTTTTCAAGCAACTGGTCATGCCCCAGCCCGGGGTGGTGAGATGTCAGGGCTGGGAAGCAGGGCAGCCTTGCGTGGAGTTGGACACTGTCCTAGGCAGGCTTGGGGCTGCCTCTGTGCAGGGGGGTGGCCTAGATCAGGAGTTTTCAAGCAACTGGTCATGCCCCAGCCCGGGGTGGCGAGATGTCAGGCACTGAGGCTACGTCTAGACTGCAGGCATCTTAGGGAATACGCTCGTCCAGAAGAGAGCTTCCGGAACGGCTGATTTCGAAAGCGCGGCCACACGCAGACAGCGCAACGGAAACGTGAGCAGCCTTTCCGAAAGCTGCCGTCCACACGGCTTTTTTCAAGCAACTGGTCATGCCCCAGCCCGGGGTGGCGAGATGTCAGGCACTGAGGCTACGTCTAGACTGCAGGCATCTTAGGGAATACGCTCGTCCAGAAGAGAGCTTCCGGAACGGCTGATTTCGAAAGCGCGGCCACACGCAGACAGCGCAACGGAAACGTGAGCAGCCTTTCCGAAAGCTGCCGTCCACACGGCTTGGACGCTCGCTCACATTGAAGGCCACCGGGAACCAGGTCGGGCAGGGCGGTAGGTCCGTTTCCGGGTACTGTTGCCTACGGCTGGGGGCGGGGGGGCC